GGGACGAAAAATTTCAAATTGAACGCTTCACTTACGTTTGATTCGAGCACAAGTTGATAGCTTAACCACCGTGTGGCTGTCGCTTGTAGATGTGGCGCATTGTCGTTGATGCGGGCACGTACTTTCCATTTGTATTCTAGTGCCGTAAAACTTGTCGTTTCAAAATAGAGATTAGCAGCAAAATCATCTGTACGCATTGGTTTCAGAACGAGATCGTTGACATCGATTTCACTGAGCGAAAGTAAGTCGAGAGCCGCCTCCAGACATTTCTTTTCTGCGTCACACGCTTGCTTTCACATTCGAATCGTATCTAATAACTGTTGACCGGTCTTTTTCGGATATTCACAAGCAGTCACATGAGATGCCAAAGAATGAAAAGGACCTGTCCAATCGCAGCCGAGTACCGAATATTCGCATACGGTCGGCCGTTCTGGACATGTTCCTGATTCATGATGTTTGATTTCATGACCGGGATACGTATGCGAACAATAAGCACACGTAATCGACAACTCTAAAATGACTTTTTCAACTGCTAGATGCCGGATGCAATCCTTTTTTGAGATTTTACATCGACAATTCGGACAAGCCCGTTGTCGATTTGCGAGCTTACAATCAGGTAAAAGATGATAGAAACAGGAAGTACACATCAAATGACCATTGACACACTGGAACATGGGTAATGTGGAAAGATCCAAACAAATGCCACATGATAAAATCGATCTAATATGATCTTCAAGTGAAGGAGACAGGTCGTCAGTGATCGTTCTAAGTTTTTTCAATGGAGGCTCTTCGATATCATCACTTATGGAGTCCACTGTGTAGAAGGTGTTTGCAGCAATAGAAGACCCAATTTGTGCCAGTTCAACCGAGTCATTTAATTGAGGTATATTACTGAATGAAACACGTAATACTTGTGCCATTTGAAAAAAGTATGAGTATGAATTATACTTGTTTGGATGTGAAAATAAACTGATAGTTTTGTAATAAGAAACATTCACCTTATTTCGACATACTTGCGCAAGGAACGAAAGAAAAGTTTGTGCAATGTCGTACTTACATGTCGTCCTTCATCTCTTGCTTCATTGATTTCACTCTCCTTTTCTCATGCTGGAATATGATTGAATCATTGAAAAAGTGCCCAAAGAAGAAGGTAGTGACGACATACGTTCTTGCTTCGCTATGTTGAAAACCTATTTCAGAGTAATCATGAGTTAAACAATGAAAGTCTTGCATTCATCTGCCTGTTTCAAAAGCTGATTGATAATCAATTATAGCACACAATGCAGAGAAAAAACAATTAGTAGTGACTTTTGGTCATTTTTCTTTTGGTAAACGATAAATATAAAACTCTTTGCTATTCACAGTATACATACACATTATGTGAACAAACCGCAGCGGTCATTGATTGATTTTCTTACTCTTTGAAATGTTAATCCACATACATCATTGTTAGGATACGAGAGACAATCTTACGTTTCCCCGTTTTCTTTTCTTTCGTTCTGCTATACATGACGTTATGACATGTATTCTTTTCTTTCTTTTCCTGCGTTCATGATATATCCCATATATTCTCTCTTCTGTTGATATCGCTGTGGCATTTTCCCGTTCCTGATTTTTTCTTAGTGCATTCATATATATATATATAACCGTGAGTTTCGAAATAAAGGGCTAATCAAGCAGTAAGTATCGAACTAGTGGACTAGTAACATCAGAAAAAATTATTCACATTCGACATTTAATTCGAAATCTTGGAAAACAAATAATCCTTCTAGCAAGGGTGTGGGGTATGGGTTTAGATGTGGGTGTGAATGTGTGGGTGTGAGTGTGGGGTTATGGCTGTCGGCGAAAAGAAGAATAATACCCATATCCAGCCATCTACATCCTCTATTCACACGCACACCCTACACATTTCGAATCCTTTCGAAACAAAATAACAGAACTTTCGCAATCAACTTCATTATATCACAACATTCATCTCCAACATAATTGCTCCAAATGTATGCAACGTCATGTATGACTCATATCATTCAAATGAATAGCTTTGTCTGTAGACACAAAATAATAGAAACAAAGATTGTTTGTCTGTGCCAATGAAAACCATCATCTAACCTATTCCTTCCATCATATTACTTGAAAATAATTGTAGACATCAATGCTTTCGTTTTTCAAATAGAATTGAGCGCTCGATATTCTAATTACACCAGAAAGTAGTCGCATAATATATATATTCCTTCGTTTTTCTTTCTTTCTACGTATGAATTCATTGATATCTATTTTCAACATGTCCCTTCTTTTAACGTAGAATATTCTTTCATATTATTTTTATTTTAATTGCTAGAATATCATTTTCGGAAGGAAACAGGAGTGGACTGAACTCGATGGAATTGCAGTGCCGAGTCGTTCCATGACAGGGGCCATAGTGAACTCAGGTGACCCCGGCCTATATGTCCCAAAAATCCGTTCGAAAAACCAACGACTGCTTTCAAACTGACGAAAACAGATACTACACTTATATCTTAGCCAAAAAAGGCGAGAAGCGATAGCTATTTTATGTAGACGTGAGAGAAGCGCAGCATGACTTACATAAGAACGAAAAAAACCTGTCGAAATCTACTTGCGCAACATACAGGTTATGTATTGCAACTTACTTTATCAAGAGATAAACGACCCTATACGATCGAACACATGTTGCAATGGCAAAAGACATGCAGTTGAGTTCAAACATTTACCTGCCAGAGCAATACTTATCACAAACTCTGTGTCAATGATAATAGTGTCTGTTGTTTTATTACTCATATCCCATCGAAATATGATAATCAAACGTTTTCAGTCTTATAATAGCTTCTTCTTTTAATATCCACATATTCCGATTGATAGGAAGAAATTTTTTACGTCACCCTATTCTAATTTCTTGAAATCTCAATATTCCATGTTCACTCATGTCTGAAATTATCATAAATTTCAATGAAGGATTTATTCGAAAAGCTCTGTTTCGGTTTGAGTTAATGTGCATCAATATCTATTTATGAAGAACTAGTTATAGGTTGTTTTAAGAAGCTTATCTGTTCTGCGGAAAGAGGAATATAATTTCGATCTCTCCAACAGAACTCGAACACTGGTTTGTTCTTCTACCGAGATGCTGGTTCTCAGTCCCATATGAATCGACTTGTCATACCTGAAAGTTCATCAACAGCTAATATCGAACATAAAACATCACAAACTTCAGGGAAAACCTCTGCAAATCAACCTCTCGATACACGGGCTAACGTCTCACATTGTTTATTTTCTTCTTAATGGTTCGCTACTAACGATCGTTTCTGTTTCCTTTTTCATCAGATAGATATTCGTCGTCCCATATGAATTGACCATGTTTATGTATTCTCCCATTGATCTCCCTTACAACAAAGAATTCACTGATCACACCACAATACTAGGCTCCAATCAGGCGAGACGAATTCAAGCTAAATTAGGAAATGTGATTGGTATTTCTACGTAAAAACATCAGTCACATTCTTTAATTCAGTTTCAATTCGTCTAGTCTGATTGGGACCATATAGGTCGTTGTTGTTTTTTGTCCGAATTCGATTTTTTTATTGACCTTGTTGCAACTGATAGCAGTCAGATGAGAATAAATTTGTATTCAGATTAGTTTCATTTTACTGTACGATCAGAATCATGCGACGTAAGTACCAGTCGTTAGCTGACTATTATTCACCTTATGTCTAGAATTTCATATGAAAAATATTATTGAATCATTTGAATTTACCTATTCCTTACAGTCTTCATTGACTATTGCTTGCTATTTTACCAGGAAAAAACTTATCATTTGAGATATTTTCATGATGAATAACATGTATATGTATATAAATTGTCTTTTTTTTTCTTTGTAGACATGATCACTCAATTCGAAATACTTTTGAATGAACTTATGTTTGACATTTTCATTTATCTTAGTCTAGGAGATTTATTTAATAGTTTTTGGACACTCAATAATCGATTCAATAATCTTCTTCTATCAACTACCAATCTGTCTCTTATTACTTATAAAAATGACGAATTATTATTCTCATTATTTGCAACAAAAATAACTCGATTAGTAATCGCTTGTTATTATGAAATAATCGATTTGAAATATTTTCCTCATTTACATTCTCTGACATTACATGGAGCCAATAATGCACAATTAGCACAGATTCAATATGAAATCTTGCCTGAACTTGTCTATCTGAACATATCATCGCATGAATATTTCTCAGAATTGATGCCAATTGTTCAACAAGTGTTCTCGAATAAATTTTCATATCTTCGTTCGATTGGTTTGGGCTATTTTCGGACATTCCGTCGTCGTCCATCATTTGTACAAACGTATCTTCGTTCTATTTCAATTCTTTCTAACGAATTAAAAGTGATACCGCTCATACTTGATTATTGTCCGTCTTTATGTTACCTTCGAGTGTCTATCATTAATGGAATTTACAGTACTGTACTTCGTTCAGTACAGACTACCCATCCACTCAAGAGATTTCTCTTATTAGATCAATCAAATAAAGAAAGTTTTGAAAATATTAATCATGTTTTGACATATATGCCAAATCTTGAATATTTATATCTACAATTTTTATGTAAACAACCATTGTCACATTTGGCTCGTTCTCTCTCGAATGATGTTCGTCGTCTATGTCGATTCGATTGTTATATTACAGAACCGATTATGAATAATCAAATAATTAGTTGTAATTCGATAAGAAAATTACATTCATGTTTTAATCGAATTAAAATTAGAATAAAAAATTATGTGAATCGAACATATAAAACGGATTTTATCGAAGAATAAAATAATCAATTCTTTGATTTTGTTTCATAATTGTCTACTCATAGTATATTTTTGTGTTAAATTGGTATTTTCTTTTTCGAATTCTATGTACAATATATATTCTTAGATCTTCTTTTCTTTGTAATGCATCTATTAACAACTGTAGTCAATACGATGAATTTCTGTTTGCTATTTTTTCACATCGGATCATAACAACTAACATATATATATATAGACATTAGTTTTCTAGATTTAACTTTCAGGATATATTTCTAATTATTGAATTTTACGGTTGACATATATGTCATTATTAGAAAGATTTGTTGAAAATTTTGAAACCATAAGAAATCAAGGTTTTTGCTGTACAAAGAATTATTATGCCACAACTGTATCGAACAGAAAAAAACATCCCAAAGAAAAACAGAAAGCAATCTAAGTAACATTGTTTAATTTCTCTTGAAGATAAATTCTCACTTTCAATTGAACAGTTCCTATTTGTTGTAGTCATTATCTCATCCTTTGTTTATGACATTGCTATAGAGAAGAATGAAATTTCAACGTGAATAGTTGCAAAGGTGGCTTTGTTCGAGGATGTCATTCACCTAGTCAACTGACTAAGACAGCTGTCTATGCTTTCCGACTGCCTTCTTTCTAGTCTGTTTTGCTCGTTTTGATGTAAACAAAAGATGAGTAAGAGAATTAAAAACAAACAAATACCCGAAACGGTCAAATTTTTATAGTGTAACTCATCGGTTTCTCTTTTTATGAATAGTGTTGACGAATGTCACAAGTTCAAGAGTATCAATTGGAAATCATTCGACGTCGTTTTAATATTGATAACCGAACTTTAAAGTAAAACTTCATCTTCAACAAATATACCAATGTATTGCAGATTTTTAATTTTAGTTCTAACCAAAATCTACTAATATACAAAAAAATTTGACGAAATGCCATCCAGGTCAGGCTAATATTTTAAAACTCCGCTTGGACTGGTGGCCTGACAGGTGCCTGTAGAGCACCAGCCCAAACTGACAGCTGTGATTTTTATCGTGCTAAATAAATGTCCATTACTCTCTGTATTAACTTCGATACGCCATACAGTATTTTACTCCGATTATT